TCATAATTTTCATACTTGTGCATATATGACACTCTCTTGGTACGTCTTAAATGGAGAGAGAGCGAATAGGTTAATTATCTGAGGAGGAAATCGCCCCAGGAGCTGCATCCTACCTACACCCAGGTAAATTTCACTTATTTCTGGTTCGGGTTTCATATCATCCACGTAGGAACTGTGTCTACCGTTTCTGATTATCGATGCTCTCCTGTTTTCACACTTAGCCTTTGTGCGTGTGTGGGGTGGGGGGTGTTGATAAGGAGAAGAACTTTCTTTTCACTTCCAGGTGTCTCTTGATTGAAACCTTGTGATTGTTTCCTGTTTCCGGTCTCACAAAAATAGTCTTGAATTCAGAGGCAAATTCGAATAAAGTCCTTCACCCGCTGACACGCACATGGACACCATGGGCCCTGAGCAGGAATAAGGTGTCTTCGGAAGTGTGGCTTGTGCTTGTGCTCTGCCTCACAAGCCACTGCATGTGAGAGTCCATGAAATGCCCCGTGACGGGCAAGGCGACAGGAAGAAGTATCTAGGACAAACCGGAGGAGCCCCGTCCCCAGGGGCGTGGTCTCGGATGTACGCAATGAGTTTTTCCACTACGTGTGGCTTAGCCGGTGGGTGGGCGTGGAGCACCAGAGACAGTGAATAAATACTGTCTTCTTTCCTCGTCCATAATATTCAGTGTTTCCTTCTGAGCCTTCATATGTTCTTCATTTGCAAAAGAAAACAAGACTAGCCACGTCTTCTGCCGATTCGATTTCTAGAACAAACAGTAAGATGGCCCTCATAATGATCTCTGGTATTGTGGATTCTGGATGCTTTTTGAAGAATCTAAAAGACACCCAAAACACTGTGCTATCCGAAGTTACCATATCGATGGAGAAGATAGTAAAGTAGTGATGTTGACCTTTATGGTCAACATCAGAGCTAATGTATCCAAAAAGATGCTTACCTACTCAAAGTGGGTACTTAGAAAAGGTACAGATGCTCCTTGACTTACGGTGGGGTTACGGCTCAATAAACCCATCATGAATTGAAAAGATTCTAATTTAAAAAAGCATTTACTACACCTAACCCACTGAAAATCGGTTTAGCCTTGCCCACCTTACAGGTGCTCAGAACACTTATGTCAGCCTGCAGCTGTGCAAAGTCATCTAACACAGAGATCAATATGAATACCCAATTCCAAGACTCAAACGGATTTTGCAAGTTTTAATTGAAATTGGAAATGACTTATTTTTAACAATAGGTGGCGCTTCACAGGTTTTTGTTTAGTTGAAATGCATTGACTGTATGAAATGAAATATCTCTGCTACCAATTTAAAAAATTAATACAAAACATGAATATTCATAAAGTACTTTAGTAACTGATAGAAACGTCCTTGCTACCTGTATCTGCCATATTTACTATTAAAATTAATGTTCTAAGAGATTATCAAAAAGAAGCAGCAGTAAATGTACTTTTTGAAAATATGTAGGATCGTGTTTTTTACTTTCCTACTTATTTTTAACTTTTAAAATGTTATTTAATTACTTTTCTGAAACATGTATTTGTTTTTTTATTCTTAATGACCATGAAGATTTTACAAATTTTATAGATGTGATTTTTAATATTTGCAATGACTTTTATCTTAAATCGTAGTAATATGTAAAAGATTAAAGATTCCAGATAAATATTAAGGTGATCAGAGTTTATTAAGTTCGTTAATCTGAAATTATTAGCACACAGCTGCCCCAGGAGATGTTTTAAGTTGTTTTTGTTTTATTGAACATATGATTTTGTTTTCTGACTGTTCTACTTTTGAGGGCAGCTATAGGTTTAAATTCACCTTAGATTCTTATGCGTTTGTCTCTGAGGATGAAGATAGCAGTAGAGAGTTATCAAAATGAGAGATCGATAACTTTTGCTGACCGGAATCAAAGATGACAGATGTTCATTACAAGGGCCAACCCACTCCTGCTTTCGGAAATCAGATTGGCAGAAGATGTGGCTAATCTCGTCTTTTGAACCAAAGAACAAGCGAAGGCTCACGAGAGAACATTTAATATTACGGAAGAGGAAAGAAGACAGTATTTATTCTTCGATCAGATAAGAAATTAAGACTGTTTTGTACTAGGGCAAAGAAGCTTCCCTTATACAACCTTACCATGCGGATTTAATTGGCAAAATCTTTGCTATGTAGTAGTGATGCAATTTGTCTGAGCTCTCGTCACTTTGAGTCTGTAAAGGAAGATGACCCTTGAGGAATGAAGGTCACCAATTCAGAGCCCCTCCATATGCATTTCTTGCTTTTCTTACAACTCGTAGAAAAATAGCATCCCTTGTGACAAAGTCCACAAATGGTTAGGTGTAGAATTATAGACAGAAACTCTACAAATCATTCAGTGCAATTTACTCGATATATTGTTTGATCTGTCCTTTTCCAGAATTTGAAATCTATGCAGAATATTAATATTTCAAATGAGGCAGAAGGATGAGAATTACACTTATGAAAATGAAGGGAATGTTTATGGAAAATTTACAGAATACGTTGGTCTATTTCTGTCAACTACAAAGATTGTTTACAAAAGGAAACTGAAAATAAGACAGCCTACCCTTGCCAGCTTTTCTGGGGAAGTATAGTAATATAATGACTATTGCCCTATAAGGAAAGCTGAGACTTGGTTTCCATTCCTGGTTCTTCAATGATTCATTAGATATTCATAGGCTAACTCACAACTTCTGTGATTTTTTTTGTTTGTGTTTGCTTTTCAGTAAGATAAAAGATTGTATTTATTATCATGACTCCACAGACATATTACAAGAATTAATAAGGTATTATTTTTTGAGAGCTTGGAACACATTATGGTTCTGCTATTTTGGCAAATAAAGCCTCTCAGTTCGCCTTTTTTTTTTCTTTTTTTTTTTTAAAGATCACTGGCAGTTGCAAGGAGTTACCAGTTTTGTTTTGTTTTGTTTCGTTTTTTTCCATTTTACTTTATTCTTTTTTCAAAAGTCAGATCAGCAGGAGAGGTGGCTAATCTTGTTTTCACATGAAAATGAAGAACAAGTCAGGGCTCACTTTCCATTCTACTTTATTCTTTTAGACATATCTTAATATAGTAAACTGAAAATTACTGTAAGATTTTCCCATGGATATTTACATTGGTTTTCCTTTTCAGGAAAATTTCATATCCAGAAATCCATTTCCAGTTAAGGTGCACTGTAATAAACTGACTTAAAAAGAAGGAACAATGTCTATTTTAAGCTAAAAAATTAGAATTTCTACAAAGACTTATAGTTGTAGGCAATCAAAAGGAGAGGCGAGTTTTACTAAATATCTTTTAGATCAAGGGTGGCAAGGCTACATCGACATTTATTTGTAGTCTAGTATTTAGAGAAAAATATATTTTAGTGCTAAATGATGTAAAGTGTTATTGGTCAATTTTGTGCAGCATAATATTTGGTTTCTAAATAGAACATGACCCGTGATGATGGTGTTATAGATAAAATTTCATGGATTTTATTTATTATTGTAATTTAAAATTACTTAATCTCATGGAAATGATAAATACAGCTGTGGTTGAAATAATTTGAAGTTTCTTCGTAATAGGTCTCTTTCAAATGCATTTTTGCAGGATTTCTGGAACTAGAATGTTCAGTGCTCCCTCTCCTGGTTTTACCATATTGGTGAACTGACCTCTCATCCCCAAACTGTGATAGCAGAGAAAATTTTGAAGGACCGAATAGGGTACTTGGATCTGATATTCTATTTCTGATTTGACTATTCCAAATCCATTCATAATGGTCAAGAAACCTATCCGTCATTAGTTAAAGTTCATTACATCCCAAAATACAATGAAATCTACGAAAAAAATAGAAACTGTGTCAATACAGTTGATTTTATCCTTTAAAGCATCCTGTTTTTATATGTTAGCATAGAGTGAGTATGTAGCTTCTTAGCGTCCTTTTTGTTCTGTGTTATTTTTAGTTATTTTCTTGTCGATGGTCTTAGCCATGCCCTAGGTTACTTAAGGTAATTCCGAACACCACTTTAATTTAAAAAAAAAAAAAAATTATTATTTATTTAATTTTTTAAAGCGCACATTTGAAAATCTAGCAAAGAAAAAGCCATTTTCAACAGAATCACTTGATCTTGTAAAAGAGATTTTAAAAATTACTTTGAACTGAAAATTTCCATTCTCAAATTTATATATGATTTAATTTTGTTTTGTTTTGTTTGCTATATTTTCCCAAACACTTTAAGCTACCTCCGATATGCAGTACCTGGAAAAAAGATTTCTTTTCCACTTACTTACTATATGTTTTCGGGTTTTAGGCGTCTTTTAAAAGTCTCTATGGAACCTTAAATTTCACTTATACTTTTTCTCACTGCAGCATTAGGTACATGATTTTGATAATAAATATCTAAAATCCAGTAGCTTCCAATGAAAGAAAAAGCAAATTTCCTACTGATTAAAATGATCTTTTTTCAATGACACATCATCCACCAGTAAGAATTAGAAAAGTTCTTAGTAAATTATTTCTATTTTAATCGACCGCCATTTAGCTGATTTAAAAGAAATAAAAGGGTTGGGCTTTTTGTGTGTGTCAAACTATACAAAAATATTACAAAATAGAAGGAATTTGGAATTTTAAAAATTGGATCGATTCGGGGAAAATTATATCACAAATCAAGATGGAGCACATATTATAAAATTACAGCAGGAAAATTCACCTTTAAGACGTATTGTTATATACACATTTGCAGGCAGGAGTGTCACCTTCTGAACTTTCAGATTTCGCATATTCTGAAGTTTGCTTTAAATAGGGACATTAATATTATATTATCATCTTTTTATATCGATATTCATTTTCTCTCTAGCTGATCAGAAGTGATGACGTCTCATACAAGTTTTTTTTTTTTTAAATCTTTTATTCTTCAAAATTATTTTCTAATTCAACTTTAAAAGAGTGGAGTCCATCAATCCTTTCGCTGAGATTGACAACTAAAGATGGATCACTAAGTTCGAAGGTATTCTTTTATGACAAACCGCATTTGCAGGAGTTTTAGAGGCGGTCTGAAATTTTAGAGGATGTTTATTACCCGAGTGTACAGGGCGACGTTTCCTAGTTGGTACACAGGGAACGAAAGAGGAAACGACTGGAGGGGAAATCCTGTTCCAGGTTTTCAGGCAGCCCGTGTGATTGACACATGATATCACGGGAGGCGTGTCCTGGAGTGGAGGTGGAGGTGGAGGCGAGGGGCTGAAATTGCGCGGAGCTGGCCTGGGATTGCTCTGTAAGGCACGCAGTGGTTTGCAGACTGATAGCAGCAGACAGAGCTCCCTGCCCGGGATAAGGAACAGCTACAGCCGCTGTAAATGTGCCTGAAAAGCAATTTCCAACCTTTGCGTTAGGTAAGAGCCGTTTCCTTCCTTTCCTTGCGTAGACGTTTTAGGAAAGATTAGGTGAGAGATGTTGGCTTTTGCAAGGAGCCGAGTTATTTCTTTGAACTCGCTTCAGATCTGAGAGTCCTGGTTGCATTTCAGATTGCCAGTAGCCTCCCCACGGCTAAAGCCAGTGCTCTTAAGGGAAATGCTATCGCCGAAAGAAAAAGCAGGGTTCCTTAGATTTGCCCCCCTTATCCGAACAGTAAAAGTCTAAAGTCCGAAACGGTCGCACGTTGAAAACCAGTGGTCGGTGCCGAAGAGGGGCCGGCGCTGGGCGTGCGGACCCGATGCGTGTTTGTTTAGGCATTGTTGGCGCAGCGGTTGTTTAAAACCTGAATTTCCCGTCTCTGTGTATTGATTTCCAATGCGCAGAGGCGTTGCTTGAACGCCGTTTGAACTCCTC